GAAATATATTTATGTTTGTGGTTGTAATGTGACAAAATATGGAAAAGTTCAAGGGGTATGAATACTTTTGCAAACCACTGTAGTTTCATGCCCTCTGTCCTGTCTTTGTATTTAGTATCTCCCACCTTCCACCCATGCTAGTTCTTTAATTGTTGTAGATGATTCGTTGAGGGGGAGGTACTTTGAGGATGTGTGTTTTGTTGTTTTTGTGTTTTCTCTGTGTTTCCACCCTTCAGTTATCCTCAGCCCATTTCCTTGTCATTTTTCAGCTTATCATCCTTAACTGCTTAGTAGTTCCCTATCAGTTCCTTTCCCGGGTGTTGTTCATTTCCTCATTTCCTCTGTTGTATATATTCTGGTTCAGTATTCCACACCCTCGCTGGTTCATTGTTTGATGTCTTCAACTGTTTTGGTTCTCCCCATAGTCTCCTTGTGGTTTGAGTTTTGTTTTGCTGCCCAGTCAGCTATTTATTTTGTTAATACATCATTTTTATATAAAACTTCATCCTCCGTCCGGAACTGGACTCATTCTGCACAGCAAATCACAACACCAGATGCGTCTTACAGCTTTTAGTCAGTGTTTGTTTTTCAGAAGAGAGAAGAACTTTACTTTGTGTCTTTGGACCTGGCATCTGTAATTCTGTTGTTCTCCCTCTGACTCAGTTTACATCTGTTCAGGAACCTGAACATGTGTAATGTTAAAATAGAACCAGGAACCTGAAATAAGATGAATGTAAAACCAAGAAGTTGAAGACGTTGCAGTTGACTGTCTTCTCTGCTCTTTAATTGTGTGTGTTTCTGAAGCAGGCTGCCGATGCTGGATTTGTTGCTGACTGGTCAGCTGATTTTGGTTCAGTGTCAACAAATGGAGATGCTGCTGCCCAAGAGACTCCTGCTGAAGGACTGGAAGAGGAGCATGGCAGTACTCAGGGTGGTGATCAAGGCTGGCACCAGTCTGAGGGTTTCCAGTTAGGCGAAGATCCAATCACTGCTAAACAGGATAGTGAGCCTGAAGCAGAGGAAGATGAGGTTAGCAGTTCGGACTCTTCATCTCATCACAACATCCATCAATCTGCAGCCAGGAAAGACCAGAGCGGCCATGTAGAGCCAGACAGTGACAAGCTGAGCCAGGCAGATCGCAGGAAGTCTACTCCAGGACTGATTGTTACCAATGAGTTTGGGGAAGAGATAGAAGATAGTACAGCAGACATAGGAGACCCGTGGTCCAGGTCTGTGGACAGTACAGGAGACAGAGGAGACACATGGTCCAGGTCTGTGGATGGATCTGGGTCTGAGTATGAAACTGCTGAGGAGTGGGCCGATGGTGGTCAGGGGGCCGACGATGAGCTTTCACTGGACCCCTCAGAACAGAGACATGTTCAGGCAGGTTCTCCAACAGCAGAACCAGTTGCACCAGAACTGGACCCAAGGGACAGAAAAGATCAGAACCATCAAATGGATCTGACATCAGAAAACTCCAATTCTGTTAACATCAACCCGAACCCTGCAGGAAGAGAGGAGAGAGAGTGGTCTGCCAGAACAGGCCCTTCAGATTCTCCTGACCCGGTTCATTCTGACTCGTTTGCAGAATCCCATACAGTTGGGTTTGATTCTGACCCGTTTGCAGAATCCCAGACAGTTGGGTTTGAATCTGACCCGTTTAGAGAATCCCAGACAGTTGGGTTTGATTCTGACCCGTTCACAAAATCCCAGACAGTTGGGTTTGATTCTGACCTGTTTGCAGAATCCCAGACAGTTGGGTTTGATTCTGACCCGTTTAGAGAATCACAGACAGTTTGGTTTGATTCTGATCTGTTTGATTCTGACCCGTTCAGAGAATCACAGACAGTTGGGTTTGATTCTGACCCGTTCAGAGAATCGCAGACAGTTGGGTTTGATTCTGACCCGTTCAGAGAATCACAGACAGTTGGGTTTGATTCTGACCCGTTCAGAGAATCACAGACAGTTGGGTTTGATTCTGACCCGTTCAGAGAATCACAGACAGTTGGGTTTGATT